GTTTTTAGTTTTAGTTATTTCTTAACATATTTTTCAACATTAAAAATTCAGTGTCAATCTATTGGAGGTGCTGCTGTCACCTACATGTGTTATCTAGTGGGTTTAGAACAGCTCACTGTTTTTTTTTCTTAATGCACTCTTTAGATACTAACCCTGCAAGGTTCCCATATTCTTGGTATGGTCAATAAAAATTCCTTAGGAAGGGTAGTATCCTATGCTAGTTCAAAAGTTTAAACAGTCGAATTCGTGTCCACAAGTTAACACCATTCAGAGTAGTTAGTACTGCCTGACTTTTCCAACAGAATATATAATTATATATATTATATATAATACATATATCTATATATCTATATGCAGGCAGACACTTTCATTTGTGTCATAGGCATTGGTCTAGGGTTTCTAGTTATAATGATTCTGCCTCTATCTCATGGCCTTCAAAACTCAGTCTCAGAAATTGGGATAATTTGAATTAAGATACTAAATGAGTTGAGTTCTCCAGTGTGAGAAATACATTGAGAGTAACAGGTATAGAGAGAAGCTGAGAGAATTCAAGTCCCATATCTGGATCACCCTTCGAGATTTAAAATGTGCCCACTGGGTTCTGTGATCAGTCAGATCAAACATCAGAAGACACATAAACGATACGGTCAGCCCTTCTCCAAACTCCAGAATAAGCTGCTGTTCACTCCTCAGCTTCATTATCTTCATTCCCAAGGTGCTCTTTTTCCTGAAAACCTTCATGAGACATTTCTACAGAGGAGAAGACAACTGAATTTGGGAGAATGCATTGTTATAGGAAGTGGTCATTTGTGTGCTCGGCAAAGATTCAAGTAGTTATGCATACTAGGTCAAAGTAGAGACTTTAAACTCAAACTTCTGGGTCAAAGAGTCAGATTCCTCTATGAGAAATGGTTGGTTAATCTATGCCCCTAGGTTTCATTACCCATGCAAAGGTAAAATGGTACATCCACTTTACAGTCTCAGGAGATACACATACAAGGAAAGTGTTTAAAAGTGTCCGTATTAAACACAGTTATTAGATATGACCACTTCTTTGAGAATTCAGTACTGCTAATTGGTTGGGGAAAATTTCCTTCTCAGCACCATCTAAGATAAAATGAATGTTTCCCAGGTGGCTCCAGTGCAAAATACTTTAGAGATGGATACTTAATCTTGGTGGAAGTTATGGCAGACATATTTCTGAAAGGAATACATTGATATGTATAAGTATGACTGTTGATTTTAGCTGCTTGATTTAAATTTCTGGAGGTTGTTTCTTCCCTATCATGAAGCCTCAATAATTTAAGAAGAAATGATGAAGTTTAATATTTAATCAAACCCTCTGATCTTTACTGGGAAGTCATCAGTCATGCCTAAATTGATGTTGCGAAGATCAAAATTGATGATCATGAATGTGGGAAGTGAAGACACTACTTCTAGACTAGGGTATTTTAGATTTATCTTCAAATCAATAGTTTTTACAACCCAGTTCAGTTTAGAACTTCAAGATGATTTCATTATACCTACTTATGGCTCTTTGTTCCCCTAACCATGCCAGAAACTTTGAAAGGATGCAGCTGGGAAAGAAATAATTTTTTGGTTCTTTATAAATTCTCACTGCTTCTGATATTTATAATCTCACATGTGAAATCACCTATCACAATTTACATTAAAGATCTGATTCTGTATGATATATTTACACTTTTAAGACTTTTACTTGAAAAATTTCAATTAATTCTTTATAGCCTGCTTTTATGCATTTCTTCTGGTTAAATTCAACTACTTTCATATTCTGCTTTTTTCTTTTGAATACTGTTGGGAATATTAGTGTAATAAAGAGTGAAGTAATATATCATCCCACAAAAAGATTACAACTGATTTCTTACAATTATATAGTGCACTTCAGATGTATATTTAATGATTCTTCATAGTAGGGTGGAAAATACATTACGTGTAAAGTTTTCTTAACTTCTCAGTTTTGCATTTTTCCTTCATTTGAGGCAGTACATTCCAACTATAAAGAATGTAACAGTATATTTGAGCCAAAAATAAAAAAATCTCACCTTTTCAAGCTATAAAATATACAGAATTGAAAATTGACACCTAATATATTTTTCACCAGATACAGATGTTCAATGTAAAATTTTCTCTTCAAATATTCATAAAAAGCAGAGTAACTAAAAATCTTCAGGTATAAAGGATAAAATGTACAACTCATACCTTTGGATAAGTTGTTAATGAATTTTTAATGAAAGCCATTTTTCTTTTCATAATTTACAAGTTCTTTTAAATTTATTGTAATCATTTTTTCATTTAAAATTGTGAATGGATCTTTAAGTTGACTTAGAACTTAATGAACGTAAGAGTACCTAGTTACCTTCCAAATGTAGAAAGTCTTATAAGTAACTTGTGAAGGAATCACTCAACAATTTAGTGTACAGTTTACCTTTTAATCTTGAAATTTAAACACATTTGAATGAAGCGATAATTTAAATAAACTATTTCTCATATCTTTATCAAACCATTTTGAACATAACTTTCTTATTATTAGCAAATGCAGACTAATGCAGTAAATGCACAATATAATCTGGTGTGTTGGCTCTTTTTACCTTGAGACCATTATGTTCATTTCTGGACTGAGTTGAGCTGCAGGCCATTTTGAAATGAAAGTAGATCTGCCCAGGTGAACCCCTGTTGTGAGTATTTAGGGCTGCTGATCTTTCACCACCTGCAGAACTCATTATCTTAAGTAGGGGCTCAATGTAGATATCCAGTAGGGGAGAAACATAAAAACGTAATTCTTTTTCCTCTTTGGCTGCCCTCCCCCAAAACTGGAAAAAAATCCTCAGTTTAAACAGATGTTTCTTAAAATTTAAAACTATTAGATATTGTTGGTTTAGTAAATAATTCATCTGTGGTTCTAATTGGGTTATATTTATTTCATGTGTTCATGGAGTGGAACTATCTGCATTTTTCTTATGGTGCTTATGGTCATCTCAGTTGAAAGCTTTAAAATACTTATTTTAAAATTTTAATTTAACTACATTTCACAAAAAATACACATCATTTTGTCAAAGATGTCCACCAGTCCATTTTTTCATTTATTAATTCCCATGCTTTCTGAACATATCCCTACCTGGCTACTATGAGTATCATTTTGTCCATCTCTGTAGGAGATTAAAAAATATTAGACCTAAGAGGTTTATATCCTATCGAGGAAAAGAAGAACTTTGTACAAAACATGTCATTCACGATAGAAAATAAAATGGTTGATCTATGGCAAAATAAATATTTATGAAAATGACTAGACACAAAAGAGGTCCATGAGCGCAGGGATGGCCTCTCCCTAGAGCTGTCTGTGATTACAGGAAAAAGAATTTACCTGGGCAGGGAGAAGGCAGGACACGAAAGGTGGGGCCGATGCAGGGAGCAAAAGTGTAGCCATAGAAACAGAAAGGTCCATGAGGGGAAGTGTGGAGCCACAGAGCAGAGTAGGAGATGTTAGAGTAGCAGGTAGTTGAGAGGCACACGGGAGGCCTTTGGATGTCAGGAAGAGGTACAGATTTCATAGGTAGGAGAGGACATTAGGAAGAAAAGGAGTCTGAGTGAAGAATTACCGAGTGAGGGTGGTGTCTAGCGTATTAATTTAGCAGTGAGCGCGGTATGCATTGGACAGAGAAGTTCAGGACACAAGGAATAGTCATTGCTCTCACCGCTAGAGGATTAGGTATCAGATCATGAAGGCTTTTATTAAGACCATGCCATGAAAAATGGAAGCTTGAATACACAGGACTTGAGACTCATAAGTTATAGGGAATTAAGACAATAAAGATGAAATATTCTGAAACTGAGCAAAATCAGAAATGAAGTTAAGGAGAGCGCTTTAAGAAAGATGTCTTGTGGGACAGCATATAAGCAAATGATTAGTGGTTATATTTATAGAGCTGAGGGATGGAGGGGCCAGGTGAGACAGCTAAAGGGTGCCGGGTTTCTTCTGGGGGCGTGAAAATGTTACAAAATTGCGGTGACGACTGCACAGCTCTGAATAGACTAAAAGCCGTGAAAGAATATACTTTAAGTGGATGAATTGGAAGGTATAGAAAGCATAGCTCAATAAAGCTGTTACAAAATGAGAAGAGAAAAACAGGAAAGAAAATAGGCTGTAGGGGCTATGTGAGAAAAAAGAAAAAAGTGACCTTTAACCAGGATTCAGTTAAATGTTGGCTGTGACCAATTGCAAATTGTGTTTATAAGAGCAGTAGTTGAAGTTGTGAGGGTAATTTGGAGGAGAGAGAATAAAAGCAGATCTGATCATAATAACTTTGCAGTTCAAGGGCTATATCATGGGAGAGACAATAATTAAAAATGGATCTTTTTAACAGTTTAACAGTTGCGTTAATTTTACCTGTGTTATCTTAATCAGGAAAACCAGATCAGTGGAATTTAGAAACACGGTTTTATGTATTGGCCATGCTATTAAATTCGTCAAAAGTGGATGATGTTTTATGCACTAAGACTATGTTTTAAATTATAGGAAGGGCATCTGTAGTGTTCCTGTAAGTAGTCACATCCATGTACCTGGTTAAAATAACAGTTCTGCTCACGGGTCATGGCAGTGCAATGAGTTGCCAGGAGGGGACTGCAGAGAGAAGCCAAATTGTATGATTCCTGATAAAGCTTGTTCTTGGAGCTTCAAAGACTGGCTTGTTTGTATGCTCACTGATTGCTGAATGGTGGGACTCACTGACTCAAGATATCATTTGTCACTTTTAATGTGAAATAAAAATGTGATGCAGCTAGAACTATATTATGAAAATATGAAATGCTGACATTCTTGCAATTAAATGAAAGCTGTAAAACTGCAAGGAAATCATTCCTTATGGTGAGTTCTACAAATACAACTCATCTGCAATCTGACTGATGAAAATTATGTCAAGTATGAAGCTGGCATTTGTGCTGGGAATGATTATATGTTTATAATGCTCCTGTTGCTATTTAAGGGAAGGAGATTACAGCAGAAACTTTCATGGAGAAATTGGACAATGGCGCTTTGCTCTGTCAGCTCGCGGCAACTGTGCAGGACAAGTTCAGAGAGACCATGGACGCTCACAAGCCCACAAAGGTAAAGAGCCCAGGGCAGACATGACTGTTCAGTGGCAGGCTGCATTTGCTGTTGCTTTTGATCCTGGCACAGTTTGAGAATTAACTGCCAATGGATGCATCGAGGTCTATGTTAAGAACAAAGCACAGAAGGTACTTTTTAAATTAGGTAACATGTTACTTGCATTTTAATTACTTAATCTTTTGGTAATTAATTATATTAATGTTTTTGAAAGTGCTTGTATTAAAATATACAATTGGCTGAATCCAGTTGTTGATTGAAGTTTAGAGAAATAACCTATATCATCATGCAGTGAATAATAAAATCAGCCGAGAAAAACCAACTGAATAGAATTTGTAAAATATTATGGTAGAGTATTGGAATGATATAATTGGAGGATAATTTTTTTTGTTTTATATTAATGAATTATATCATGGAGCTAAGGAACTTTGAACAAATTATTACATTTCTGATCGCTCAGATTTTCTTTGTGTATGTTAGTCCTAATACTCTTATAGTTATTACAAATATATGATAAAATATCATGTTCAATATTTTGGAGTAAAGAAGAAAGAAGGAAAGGAAGCAAAAACATAAGGTTAAATAATGTTGAATATAGATTAAAATAAAAATATACAAAAATAAGTGTTAGATTGCTTTTGCAACTCTGGCAGAAGAGAGGTAAAGTGACTAGTGTTTGAGTGTGTGTGAGTGTGTGTATGTGTATCAACACTGTGCATTTTGTGTTATTCTGTAAAAGTATTAAATAAAACACAACTCCTATCCTCCAATTGTTTTCAACGTAGAAGGAACTCCATAAAGGTATCAAATAATTCAGTGGATTCCAAACTTTGTTTCACTTTGCAGTTATGTGGGGATTTAAAAAATTACTGAGAGCTGGATCCCATGCCTGAAATTCTGACTGATTCCTGTAGGGTGCAACTTGGGCATTTTATACAAACTCCCTAGGAGAGAGCGTATGTTCAATACAGTTGGCGACTGCTGAATTCTTTTTTCCTTTGCCTTCCCTCCTTTGAGTAGATACAGATTCTAAACAATTAGTGCAAGACCATCTGGCTAGTAAGTGACTGAATGAAAGTCTGATACAGAAATCCTCTTCTGAAGTCGAGTGCTGTCTCCTTTAGATTTGCTGTGGGTAGCATAACACGAGGAGACTTGCTCATGAAATTCTTTATGTTAAGCTTGACATTAGGAACCAATTATTCTTTTGCTATGATTTCTATTATAATGTAAGTCACTTCCACTTCATATTACTGATGCGAAAACATAATGTCTAACAGGAAGACAACCAGGTATGGCGACTCATGCCTGTAGTTCCAGCGTTTGAGAGGCTGAGGCAGGAGGATTGCCAGGAGTTTGAGGCCATCATGGGGTACAGAGTGATTTCAAGACCAGTCTGAACCACATCGACCCTGCCTTAAAAAATAATAATAATAGGAGAAGAATTTGTGTAGAAAATATACTCTAAAGCAATTAGCAAAGAGGAGTAAAAATGTGACCCAACATTATCAAGACATTATCTTTACATAGCATAGGTTCCGAAAGCTGTGTTTTGTAGTACCTGTTGTTGAGGACTGAGAGCTCAATGCCTCAAAGTTAGGATCCCTTGAACAGAGAATAAATAACCCCATAAGGCTAACGTACAGTTTTCTGGTTTTGGTTTCTTTGGTGAACCTATACTTTTGAAAGCGGATGAGAGATCCTCAAATTGAGTTGTAATTATAGGACTGTCAAGTGCAAGACAGGCCCAGAGCATTGGCCTAAATTTCAAAGGCTTTGACCTTGAGTCCATTTTGCCTCAATGCTTGTTATTTATTAATTTGTTATGTCTTAATTTCTTTATTTGTAAAATAAGATTAATAATTGTGTGCACTGAATAAAAATATCCCTTGATAAATATTGTCTTTTACCTGCAAGAAAAAGAATTAAGTGATTCTTATGAGAATTTTAGATTAACTAGAAGAAAGTTAATACTTTTTAAATGTTCATATTCAGCATGATAGCTGCTTTGTGCAAATATGTAGACATTTGCCTAAAATCTCCATTATAATACACACTATGGACAATATTTGTGGACCAAATTTAACTGTTTCTCTTTGAATCATTTTCTTCAATAGAACATACTCTTTATAATCAATCATAAAACATGGAGAGAAACAAAAAGTTTCCTTTCAAACTGAGTACTGTAGCAAGATTCTATTAAACTTGAATTACTTCCTTGAGCCTAAGCATTTTGTCTCATTGAATAGAGAGGTAAAGTCTGTTCTTATGATGATAAATTTATTTTATTACAAAAGCATAAGTGTGTTCATTAAACAAGAGAAGGAAGGTTTAAAAAAACCCTTTGTAACCTCATTTTCAATGCTCAAAAATTCAAATGGGATCTGAGTGCTGAGTCGACACAATTGCACAATTGCTCTTGACTGGGTCACCATCTGTGTCCTTGGCAGAGTTTGTACATCTCAGGACCAACTTCTGATCACACACAGCTGAGCTAAAACTATTTATCACAAACACAAAGAGAGCTTTTATTTTCTACATTTTATGAGGAAATTTTCAAATTATGGAAAGCCAAGTGGTTAATATCAACATGGCCATTATTGCTTATAAGTCTGAGTGTGCTTTTGTCAAATTCATGCATTTAGATCCATCTTCTGTCTACAGAGACAAAATAAAAATTACATAAGTTTGTATACTATTTTGTTATTAAATATAAATTTATATTTAATAATAATGCATTATAACCAATATAGATTAGGAGTATTTTCTTTTCATAGAAAAAAACAAAAGACTTTCTACTATCAACTGAATTACAGTATTAAGTCTACTCTGTATATTTGTTTGTATGTTTGTGTTTTGAATTATTCTCCATACTCCTCCATTTTCCAGGATGTTGTTGGCATAATGAAATTTAGAAACAATGATGGTAAAGATGAGTATGTCAATACCCTTCTCTGAATAGGTGTTTTTGCTTGTTTGTTTTTGTGTGTGTTGTTTTACTGGGGATTGAATCCAGGGGCTTCTCACTGAGCTACATCTCCAACCCCCTCTATTTTTATTCTTTATTTTTTATTTTGATGCAGGGTATCATTAAGGTATGAAGTTGCCTAGGCTGGATTTGAACTTGCAATCCTGCCACAGCCTCCCAAAGTGCTGGCAGGCAACATTATGCCTGGTTTGGATAGTTTCACTAAACTTCTTATGGAAAGCTGTTGAAATAATATTACTAATATTGAAATAATATTAATAATAATATTAAATTAACAAAAATTAGCAACATGCATGTTCTGATCCAAAGTCATATCACAGGAAGACCTTTGTGATTGTCTTCCGGCAGCTTAAATCTCACTTCATCTTCATAGCAGTATTTTACTTTCTCTGATTGGTGGTTAATTTGGGGATTTTACAGATGTATAAACAGTTTTGAACAAGTAATTTATGTCTGGTACATGTGAAATATATCTGTGGTAAGAATGATTTAAATGCTCTGAATTCTTCAAAGCAAGTCTTAAGATATGTTAGACAATTCATATATTTAATATTTTAGCTATCACTCCATGACTCTTTTGTATCCCGCTGGGGGTTTGATTAAATCTTCCAAGTGCAAAGAAATTATATTCTCTGATTCTTTATTTCAAGGCATCGATAGATCAATTAACTCTAAGTAGTTCACTTAACCTTTGTATGGTGGACCATTTTCTCATTTAATATGGGAGCAATGCAGAGGCAACACAAACTGGCAGTAGTTGGATGGAAAAATTTCAAAGCAGTGTGCAGCAATTTAATATAAATTTTGAATTAATTAGCTTATATGTACCATAATATGATAAATTCACTCCATCAATCTTAATATTTCTGGAGTTGAGGAGCTTTAGTGCTGAGCTTTAGGATGAATCTAATCTTTCTAACATCTTATTAAGATGATCAAACCCTCACAAATGATAAGTCCAAGATTAGGTGGTATGGCTTTGGGTAGTTGTATGCTCTTAGATAGTTAACTGACTGGAGCTTAGCTTCTGCAATCAGGACAGGATGATGGAAACACTGATGCATGAACTTTCACTTTGTAGTCCAAATTGAGTTCCACTGTACAAACCATTTCTCATTGTATATTCGCTCTGTTCTTTCTCCATTAGCCACAGTTTGCTGATTTGTGTACCAGATGCACTCGCCACTGGGGTGACAACATGGGGCAAAATATTCAAAAGTGTTCAACCTCTTTTCCTCCTAACATTCCTTTCCATTTTTCTCATTCATTCTGAGAATCTCTGCCTCAGACCTCAGAGTCTCCCTGGGTTCAGAGCTTTCTTTGACTTCCAAGGGCCCTGAGAGTTTAGATCAGGTTTGAAACACATGAAGATGAAGAAGGAAAAAAGAAGTTCTGTTACCAAGTAGAATGCTACATTATGCTCTAAGGAAGGAACTGAATATTCACCGTTCCAGTGGAGAATCCAGTCCTTGTTCTGGGGAAAGAACATCCTTGTCAGATAGAAAGCCTGTCATACATTGGCCCATCAAGAATACTGAGTTCCCTGACAGTAGATAACAATACCCCAGGATTGTACCATCCGGAAATTAAATGAAACATAGAGATTAGAGTATTCCTCTCTGAAAAACCAATAGCACTTTTTGTTTAGAGAACTTCTTATCATGATCGAATTCAGAGAAATCCAGAGATTTGTGTTTACTCTAGATATATCTGTGACAGAACAAGGAAGTCCAATAAAAGCTGTAAAGGATTTTCTATGAAAATGAAAACTCTCACCCAGGACTCATCTGGAGGCTTTTGCATCTAAATATCCAAATAAAATAATATAACTTAAGAAATACACTACTTAAAATGCAAGTGTAATCCTAGGATAAATGAACAGCAAACAAATTGTCATGAGATGGAGGGAACCGAGGTGGAATTATGTGGAAATAAATGAATTTTTGCTTTGTGAGACTGAGGAAAAAAGAAAGAAATAAAACAAGTGAATAAAGCAAATTATTACCCAGTA